GACAAACGAATTCTGACAAGTTCAAGGGAAGCACATCAGTGACAACACAGCCACATGCGTCAGACATCGTCATCATCGTCGTCATGCATACTCCTCGAATGTCTTCTGATGTCTGCTCAACTGATCGTGCTCACGTGCTCCTGCTCAACTGCTCCTGCTCCTGCTGCTCAACTGCTCCTGCTCCTGCTCCTGCTCCTGCTCCTTCTCTCCTGCTCTTTTCTCTCCCTGGATTTTAAGTGACCTTCCTGTAGATCGTTTCTGTTCGAGATGAATCCGTCTTGAAGGAGCTCAAGGTCAGCTCAGAACGGAGAGATAGAGAAGGAGGAGGAGGAGGAGGAGGAGGAGAGAGGAGGAGCGAGGTGGTGGTGGTGGTGGACGAAAAGGGAGGACAAGGAGGAGAGAGGAGAAAGGAGTAAAACTGGGAGCAGGAGGCCTTGTCTGGATGGAATGGAAAGATGCCTGAGCTTGTGTTTGGACCCAAAGGGATCGCAGGTGAAGAAGAAAACTTTCCTTGCTGCTGCTCCTGCTGCACTTGCTCTCCTCCTCTTGCTCCCTCTCTCCCTTCCCCCTGCTCCTCTTGCTCCCCCCCCCATCCTCCTCCTCTGCCTCCTCCTCTTCCTCCTCCTCCTCTACCTTTGCCTCCTCATTCTGTACATCCTTTCTCTGCTTTCTTTTCTCTCTGCTTGCTCATCTCATTCCCTTCAGAGGTCGCCAAGTACGGAGATTCCGATGTTGTCGTCACCGGCATCGTCGGATGCGCTGGACTTCTGCCCACGGTCCCGCCTCCTCCGTCTCCTCCTCCGCCTTCTCCTTCTTCTCCTCTGCCTGCCCTTCTCCTGCCCCTCCCTCTCCTCGTACTCGACCTCCTCAACCTCCTTCTCCTCCTCCTTCCCTCAATCCTGCTCCTGCCCACCTTCGCTTCCTTCCTGACGCTGCTGCAGGTCGAGGCTATCAAGGCTGGCAAGGACATCGCGCTTGCTAACAAGGAGACTCTCATCTCCGGTGGACCCGTTATCCTCCCCCTCCTCAAGGTATCAAACACCTCCACTCCTTCTCTCTCTCCTCCCTCCCTCCTCCTCCTCTTCTCTTATTTTCCCTCCTGCTCCTGCTGACTTCTCTATAGGAATATGGTGTCAAGATGACTCCAGCTGATTCCGAGCACAGCGCGATCTTCCAGTCCCTCCAGGTTCTACCCCTCGTCTCGTCTCGTCTCGTCTCCTCTCCTCTCCTCTCCTCTCCTCTCCTCTCCTCTCCTCTCATCTCTCTTTGTCTCAGGGTGTTCCCCCCGGAGGTCTTCGCAAGGTTATCCTCACAGCTTCTGGCGGCGCCTTCCGTGACTTCTCAGCTGACGAGCTGCTGGAGCTCTGCGAGAAGGTGAGGAGGGAGGAGGAGGAGGAGCGAAGGAGGAGGAGGAGCGAAGGAGGAGGAGGAGCAGGAGCAGTTGACTGTGCTGGGCAGGACCCGGAGTTCATTCGCAAGAAGGCAACTACTCATCCTAACTGGGACATGGGAGCAAAGATCACAGTTGACTCAGCGACTCTCATGAACAAAGGACTTGAGGTCCTTCCTCCTTCTGTTTCCTCCTCTCCTGGTCTCCTCCTCTCATCA